ACCCAAACAAGTGATAGGAGAGTGAGCATCTCCTCTTTTTCTTTCTTTTTCCTTTACTACCATCAACCCAGATATAGCATTAACTGAATGCCAAGCTATTTTTTCCTCTGTTCAAATCACAACCTTAAATTTTTCCGACTATCCTATTTATTTTCTTTCATCTTCCCTCCTTTTTAGTTACAGTGATGGCTAAATGTTGATACAGCTAGCCTGCTATGGACTAAAATTTCAGTTCTGGTCTTTGTATTGGCAATCTTCTGTGAGAACTTGTCTCTTGAATCTTCTCAATTATAGGCCTTTATTTTGATATTTTTTTAATTGTAGTTCTTACCTACTTGTTTCAGGCATTTTGTTGGCATTGATGCAGTTATTTGTGTTTCAATTACAAATACCTGCTTGGTATTTGGTTCAAGATTTGTTATAATTTCTAGATTCTTTCTATTAAAATAATTTCTTCATTCTTGTTTCGGGAACTTCTGGTGATTTTGTCTCTTGGATAAATGATAAATTCTCAAGGATTGAGCTGATTGTTTCGACAGTATATTGTCCTAGGTATGTTAATCTACAATTTTAAATCCAAAACAATGATATTCGGTGCAGTGGGATATTATTATTTAGATATTATCAGAGTTTTGGTAAAAAGGCAGCACATGAATAAGACTTCAAAATCATGGGTATTAGAAGAATTTGGGACTAAACTTTGCCGAGCATAAGTAAAAGCATGATTTATTGGAAAAGTTGATTTAATGAAAGATCGACCAAGAATGGGTAAAAATAGTATGTCCAGACTAGAAACTTAAAACTTGAAACTTGAAACTTGAACTGATTGTTTACTTTTCCATCTTGACTGGAAACTTGAAAGGAGAGATGGTTACCAAGAAGGTAGCAACAAGGTTTCATCAGTAGTTATTCTCCAATAAGGAAAAGAAAAAGAAGGTTGAGTTCTTCATATAATATAGAGAAAAAGGTGGTTTAATTCATTAAAGCCAGTTAAGCTATTTTGATTATGACATAAACAAACAGACATGATTGCAGTAAGCGATGTAAGAATTTCATTGAGGAAAAACTGAAGTATACGAGATCAGCAATCTTGGGATTAAGGTTCTGTTTAGTTAAAGCTATTTTGGGTTTTATCTTCTAAACTCATATTTGTATGGTAGATCAAGTTTGTTAACAATAAAAATAAGATTTGGAAAATAATGATGAAAATATGATATGAGTTTGAGAACAGTTTTTTATTCTTTTCAACTCATGCTATATTTTCCCTTCATTTTTTAAATCTTATTTTATTTTCAACAGTTGTATATCATTTTTTTTCTATGTTTGTGTGTGTGTATGTAAATTTCAAAATAAAATTTCAAAGCAATTATCTACAACTAACTATGGCCGTTGAAGCATGTCATGCATGTTGTTCAGATCTAAACTTTTACTCACTCTTGTACTACAATAACACTCTCTGTTACATTAATTTGAAGCTTCTTAAGGTCATCAATTGTCTAAGTTACTTTTAGGGATTTGAAGTCCTAAAATATTTTCAAGATGGTTTTTTTGTTCAAATTTCAATTTGATGGAATAGAAAACATAAAATATAATACCAATATGATAGAGATTTGATTAAAAATGACATTATAATTCCAAGTCAATCATGTTTAGTTCAAGTTGTAGAATTGAAATATCAGTGAACTTTGTTCAATTATGTACTAAATGTGCAAGTCGTAGTTAGCTTTTAGATGTCAAATAATTAAATATAAGAATTGAATAGGAATCTAATAGGTTTGAACCAAATGCAGCATTAGTTCTTAGGTGGACCAATGCTTAATCATATTTAGGAGTACCTTAGAATAAAGAGGTCCGAAAATTCTTAACTTCAGAATCTAGACATATTTGGGAGTAGCCTTTTACTTATTCATGCAGTGCAAAGCTTCTTGGCAAGCATGAAGGAAATAGGACTTGGGATTTTTTACTTTTAAGCTTTAATCCTTATTATTGTGTGCCCGCGATTCATTAAAGGTCACAGCTTTATACTTGTGAGGATCTAAGGTAACTTCTAGATTCTTTGATTGATATGTAAAAAATTTTATAAGGACTTGCACTCCCTTGGTGCTCTTGAACATAATTTCTTTTTCTTTTTCAAAAAATCGTTCTGATTGAGTGCCTTTAGAGGGTCCGAATGCTCTATTCAGATTTTTCAAGCTGCCTCTTTCCCATACATATTCACATTATGTGAATAAAATTTGATTGCATATAGTCATATTTCTATTGATAATGTTTATTTGGAGAATTATGCATATTGTTATAAATGGGCTGCTCTGACCTGCTTTAATTACGTTACTTACTATTTCACAGGATGATATGGACAAGAAAATCCGGGAACTTACTACTGAGCTGGAATTTGCAAGTCGAAAATGTGAAGTTTATCGAGCTAACCTGCTGTCAGTTTTAAAAGATATTGAGGACCATAAGTTACAGTTATCAATTAAAGTGCAAAACATTAAGATTAGTTTGAAAGACGGCATTTAAGGTGCAAAAGAGTCAACTTGTATTTATTCTCTAAATGATATCTCAAGCCTCTCAGTTCTTAGCTGTCCGTTTTCTTTTTTTACTTTCATTTTTTCTTTGCCAAAATCTATGGAGATTTACTGGCCCTTTCTCAAGAAGGTATTTAAGCAATTCTCTTTACCATTTCATAGATGACAGGAAGAAGCAGAATCAGATTGGGGTGTGGAATGCTGACTTGGCTTGTAAGAGGCTATAATACAATGTAAATTCTTCATCCCACAACTCAATCACCTTGCTTCTTTGCTTTTTCTGAACCCATCAAATTTTTTTCCTGTATTAGGTGTAATATCGCAAGTTTCAATCCGGACATTGCAGGGTAAAAATATCGTGATAATATATGTTCGGAAGGCATTACCTTTGACTGGGGATATTTATAAAATATGACAAATTCTGGTGATGGACAGAAATCTCTCACGTCAGACTGAGAAGGTCAGATTTGTCCTTAAATCAAGGATGGACGGAAGCAAAGCGCCTTGTGCCAGGCGGGTCTGTAGGGGATTTTATTGTAGGTATATCTGGTTCAGCCTTGTTCACTTTCTCAATTGTGTCAAAGAGCCATTTGTAGGCAGCTCCCATTTTGTATAAAAATTGTACAAGTGTAAACGATGGTATGATTACAGGTTTTTGTTTTCAATACTAACCTGTCAACATCTTGAAGGCTTTTGTATATACCTTTTGAATAGTGTACAACAAGAATTCTATTGAAGAGACAGTAGATGATTTTAACATTGAAGTTATTTCACTGGTGATGCATTTTTATGCAAGGAAATGATTCTTGCAATCTTTCAGGAAATAATGATAGGAGAGTGTTTCCTTGAGCTTGAAATTTGATTAAATAGAATTTAGGCTAAGAACTTCAAAATTTTCATGACAGGAATTTACAATGTATAAAAACTTATTTGAAATATCACCAAACTGATAGTCCTTGCAAACTTCTTTCTCATAAGCTCTCTTACTCTCATCTATTCAACAATTCTTTTGCTAGAGAAAAACTTCATACAGCTTTTGCATTGTTAAAAGGTTTATAAATGACTTATAGATTCTTATGTTTAAGCCTTTTGAATACAATTATTTATGGTACAGTTATTGGCAATTGTGACAGTGGTGGAGATGGTGATGACAATAACAACAATGGTAATGAGTGGCAACGATGATGGAGACAATATAGTAATAGCACAACGATGATAATAATGTTAATAGTAGTAATGATGGTAACACTGGCGAAAACGATATAAATGAGGATGTCAATAGTTGCAATAAATAATAATACAGGTGGTGATAGTACTTAATGGTCACAATAATTGAAGAATTTAACTATAGCGATTATGATAGTTTGTTCAATAATAGTAGGGATGCCAACTAAGACAACAATAATGATAGTTACAATGATTGTAGTAGTGATGACAATAATTTATAAATTTCTTATTCTAATTTAGACAAAAAAAATCATGTTATATTGAATTGTTTGGTTCAATTTTTTAATTATGTTCTTAGTATAGAATATACATATATCTATATATATATGTTTACATAAGCTTTAAAAAAAATTTGAAAAAATTAATAACTAAAACTTGAATTTTGAAAAAAAAAAAGAAGATAAAATTCAATTAGTTCAAACTATAAAATACCAATTGAATATGATGCAGGCTTAAATTAAAATGATCTGCTATTCAATCTAAATTCTTTACTTTTTCAGTCTTAAGTTCAATTTATTTACATTTTTAGCTGTAACAACCTAATAATTATATTAGGTGATAATGGTAATAGCAAAAATATTGTGCTAATAGTAATAGCAATAAGAATAATTATGATAGTGATAAGAGTAGGTAAACTACAACAACAGAAAAAATAACAGTAGCCGTGAAAACAATACATGAGAAATGATTATGATGTATTGAGGGCATATATGAATGAAAAATATTTACAAAAGATTATTGCAATCTTTATCTGGAATCTGGAAATGTTTAGTTGTCTTTCATGGATTACATAACACTATAGAATTTAAGATGATAGTTTCTTATTTTACTTATATAAATAAAAAAAAAAAAATTGCTTACAAATATAGAGTAGGATCCAGTAAGGAGCCTCATCCCTAACCCCACCCCGGTAAAAGAAAAAAAAAAAAAAAAAAAAGATTACGTTTACAACAACTTCATAATGTGTAAATATTCGCTTGTAATACTTATTTCAACTAAAAGATAATCCAAAATCTATTTAAAATAAAAATTTAAAAGATTAAATTCATATAATGAATTGAAATAATGTATTTCAAAATTTACCAAAATTGGTCTAATTTAAAATGTTTGTTTAAATTTTACATAAAACTCCATATTACCTGAATTCCAATTTTTAAAAAGAATTTGCAAATTTCTAGTTAAAGCAAGCTTTAATCTCATTGCGAGGAAGGCCATCTCCTCGCCCAGCGATGTAAAACGCACAACTAGATCTGATATCTTTCTCATTCATTATCTATCTCAATATTTCCTAGTAGATTCTGTAGTTCAGACTGCCAAAAGTTGTTCCTAAAAGAATCCACAGACTTGCCATAAGCTTGTATCCTCCCTCGCCTACAATGGAAGAAGAAGCTCTTGGCAAACTGATGAAAACCAAGTGCAAAGATAATTTCACATATCAATTTCCACAACAAAGATATCAAATTACAGAGTTGTTATTCTTTCAAACTAAGCCTTGCATTTTGAACCTTCACTGACAGTTTTAACTTCTGTTCCTCCATGTCTCTCAAAACAGATAGCAGATTTTCCCGATAGACTGCACATCTCCGATTTGTATTCTCCAGTTCAGCAGTTAATTCACGGATTTTACTTTCCTTTTCATCCTGACACAAAAAAGGAATGGAGAAGATAGTGTCATGCCATGATCAAAATGTTGCAGAAATGCATGAGCGTAGACTTGCCATAAATGAGACTATTTTCAATATTAATAAATTCATAGTTCATCAAGTCAATGAAACGTGTTGCTGTTCTTCCCTTGAGATCATGAAATTTTAAAATATAAAAGCATAGTTCAAAATTATATGACAAGAACCAATACTATGTCACCAACATGAAAGAGAATTAGATTACTAATCTAAGGTAGAGGTGGCAAATTAACAACTCTACTCCTTTTGGCACTTTGGACTTCGCTAAAAATCAGTTAAGTGATGATGGTCTTACATTGGCTCTATCCATCAAAAAGGTGATTTACACTCGGATGATCCGATTGTAAAACAATCCCAAACCATAAAGGAATAACCAGAAACCCAAGCCTAAGTAAATATGAGTCAGAAAAAGTTTAAATATACTTTTCAATTCCATTTACAAACCATAAGCATAATGAATAAACAGCAAAATTTAAAAGGTAGATTGTAGGTAACTAAAGCTATCCATGTAAAGTATTAACAAAGAAAAGTATAGATTATATATACTGTGAAAATGCATATAATATGATCTCTTTTTATCACTATTATAGCTATTGCAAAAAAAAGCTAAAATTCAAAGCTGAAAAGAAAAAATTGTAAAGGAATTGGTTGGTTGAAAATTCATGTTCAACAACAGCAGTGAACTTAGCATTGTATATCCATGCATGTTGAACACATTGAAGGTTAACCCAAAAAGACAACTGAAATCCCTCACTCAAGTCAACCTTGAAACTGAAATAACTAGGAACAGATTAACCTAAACTGACATTGTATGCTCAAGCCCCCCAAAAAGAGAGAATAAAATCAGCATACATTTACAATGGATCAACAGAAAACAAATGTGATTCTTCATGTTCTAATTCTCTAACATTCGTTATTTGTAAATTGTCCAGGCAAAAATTATATATATATATATATATATAGATATAAATTAAAATGGATTTCATTGAATGGTGAAAGGAACAGACTACTGTTCAAAGGAAAAGCTTAGCAAAAAGAGAAAATCCTTAAAACATGTAAGGTTATAAGTCAAGAAACTAACCATGGATTGGTAGGTTGCAGTTCTAGCATCTTCAGCTTCCAACAACTCTTGAGTGTCTCCATTAGTTAGTGCATTACCATCTATGGATGCGGAAGCTTGGCTCTTGGCAGCAGCAACCTTCTTAGCGGCCTCTTGTAAAGCATCCATAGCCACATTATAAATATGAATAGATTTTGCCCCTTCTTCCACATATTTAATTGCTTCTTGCCGCAGATTGTTATATCGAACAGTTAAAGATTCTTGAGAACTGTTTGGCAATTCAGAAGCACGTTCATCTGACAAAATCCCAATTTTTGCATTTCGCGTCCATCGTTTTAAAACATATTGAGAAGGCAGCGTAAGAACATTTTTTGCTCTAAAAACTGCTAATATATGCCTGCAAATAATTCCGGAATATTCAAACAATTGGCAGCTGCAGTTAGCTTTCATCTCAAACGAATTAAAACTAACAGTACGAGCCTTATGATCTTCACCAAATTTGGCTACTCTATAAATCATAACTGTTCCTGAATCATTGATTTTAGTCGCAGGGTTTGCAAGGGTCTCAACCAATTCCTCTTGGAATTTCATAAATACTCTCCTTGTATACAGGCTAGCTGCTTGTTTTTCCATAGGGGACGGCGTCTTCAGAACTGGGGTGGTGTTGGTTGTGTCATAATCTGCTTTTAACTCCTTCTCATGCCAATAAGCAACAGCTTTCTCATACTGTTTAATCAACATTTGTATGGTGGTCGAAGCATTCACGAATGCTTCGAAGAATGAGTTTAAAGCTCCAATTCCCTCACTTGCAGACAGCTCTCCAAAAAAAGTGTTGCGCATGTAAACAGGGACCCAGTGTTGTCGAGCATTGTACATTGACTGCAGCCATTCATTTTCCATTACATAATACCTTTGTAATAGAGATTCCCAGGATGACTTAAATTCATCAGTTGTTTCCGACTCATTGATGCACTTCTTAAATTCAGTTTCAAATGTAGGATTGGACTGATATATCTTAGCCAGTTTATCTTGAGTTTCTTTGAAAATGATCCATTTACTGAAACGAAGGCGGGTTTCAAGAAGTACTTCTGCAACAGCCACCTGTATAAGCCTGTTGGGTTCAGTTGTAATAGAAACAGGATGGCGTCCAGACATTGCATGAAGCCCAAGTTTTGAAATAACCCATGTGAACAACGACTCGGACTCATTGAGAATTAGTGCACAGCCCTAGCAACACCGGATATCCATGATGATTTTGGCCTGTGAAAGCAGCTCACGGAAGCCTATATTGATTAGCCCTATATGTTGTGTCAATATAACAGTATCTCCAAAATAAGTATAGTTCATCCTGGCTGTTGCATCTGCCCAAAATATATTTCCCACATTGTGCTCACTATCACCCTGAATTGCATAGAAAAAAGAAGGATTCTCAACTTGCATACGTTTCAGATAATCTAATACATGCTGGCCCCCACCTCCGAGGGTCCTCTGTCTACTAGCACTCATGGAACTCCAGAAAGCAACTGTAGCAAAGAATAAACAACTCTTAAATCCTCCCCAAAGTAGTAAGCAAAGAAAATTATGATATGAGAAAATGGTACAAGTCAGGGTTGGAACAAGAATTGGGATACTAACAAATTGGCAGCTAACTATATAAACACAGAGCTAGTCTATGGAAGAAAACATTATACAAGTTATGGCAATGCCTAATAATAATATAAAGCCTCTACTTTCCAGTATACTCCAATTACCAAATGCTAAAAAAATAAGCGAGAAAGTTTGTTTATATTTTCTTTTTATGAACAAAAAGCCTGTAATCCCACCAAACCCACCACCTCTCAGAATTGATTAAAGACGCGAAACCAGCCATAAGTAAGAAAAAAGGAAGGACTGTGACAATAATAACAAAGGAAAAGAACCCAAATTTGAAAGAGATCTAGAGATTCAGAAATGGAAAATCCTTTAAAAATCAAAAGATGGTTCAAGGCGTACCTGGAATCCCCGGTTTAGACAATTCGCGGTCAGATACAGTGGATTGTCAGGTGGATTAGTTTATCATCTTCCAACAATTTCCCACTGAGGTTTCATCTTGGAAGAAACGGAAAGGATAAGGATTATTTAAGCTAAGGAGGTTTAAAGGAAAAGTTGATGCCGCAGAAGAACTCTACTCTCTGAAACAATCAAAGATATATTTTCCGGTTAGTCTCCATAGATTCTCCAAGCGCGCTACTCACCAACTGGTTCAACTCGCAGCTCACCCTCTTCAACCGCGGATCTGGGTAACGTTAATTTGTGGCGGTCTTGATCGTAAGCCGATGAAATTTACTCTAACAAATTATAATTTTACTGCCTAATATATATATATATATATGGAACAATACATGAAAAAATCCATGTATAAGTTCAAATCCCTCCCTGAATTACTTTTCGGTTAAAATATAATTTGTATTTCTAAAATTTGTTTGATTAAATTTCTATCACGAATGTGTGTTTAATTCTATTATACAAATACCCAGATAATATAAAATATATCTACATAAACATCAAATTTTAAAAATATTATTAGTATAATATTTACGTGGTTAGTTTTATTCTTTTGTCACGCACTAACTTCCGTTATTAGTATAATCATAAATATTTCTCTCGAACAATTAATAATTTTAAATAAAATAAATAATAAAATAATTATCAATTTATTTTTTCATCAATTACTTATGACAAATAAGACGGTTGACTATTTGAATGAGCACATTTTTATAAAGAAGAATCCAAGTATTAACCACCCAATTTTACAGTAATTGCAAGTTGCATATCATTTAATTTTATGACATGACAGAGGCAGATCCTTTTTTTATTCGTTGGG